CATTCTGAACTCTTTGAATATCACCGGTTTTCGAATATCACCATAGTAGGCCATGTTTATATTTGCAAAACAATGGTTTCCCTCCTTTCATACACTACATGTTAAGGTGGAATCCCGGTACGGGCACATCACGACGACGGTGGGGGGACCGAGATGAAAGTCTACTCAGCATCGTCGTTCCATGAAATTCCTCATGAAAAGCGGTATGTCAGCTTATGAATTGCCGTCATTTCTGTGATTCACGGTTTACTCACGTTTCTCTTCAGGTGAAGATTTCTAAATATCCAACTGACTTCTCAATTTTCGTTTTAGAAGACGTAAACCAGATGAAGGTACATCAAATGTGCCGAATGTGGTGATTTCACGTTTACTTACATTTTCCTTCAAGTAAAACCAAAACCAATTTTGCTTCAGAAGGCGTAAACCAGATGAAGGTACATCAAATGTGCCGAATGTGGTGATTTCACGAAGTCGTGACGATGAGGTCAAAGCGCATAGCGACGTTGAACGGACCGAAGAGACTAGTGTGCAGGTGGGGTTGCTCAACCACTTAATGGATTGTGCATCTACCTTTATTACTTGTAAGGAAGCTTTTGAAGTTGACGGTCATCGCTCTGTCAATTACCCTTTCATGGCTCAGTCAACCACTCGGGTTTCCTGACTTCAGAGGAAGGAATTGGCCCGCCTCCCAGGAGCTTATGGGATTTTTATGACGATTAAGACTTTTAAAAAAGTTAGGCTTCGCAGTTTCCATTAAATGTTTCGCTTTCGCTATCAAGCCATCCTACCAGAACAGAGCGATTGACTCAATTTACCTTTGCCTTCGAATTTCCAAGAGATATGGGCTGCTCTTCAACTTATCGTTTCAGTTGTCCTTCTCGGATGACGACGAAATCGACCGCAAACCAACACATCCACGCGAGCAAAGTGATATGTCGCGAGATGTTGGCCGTGAGGTAGTTCGTGAAGAGTCGCGTGATGGACGTGGTGAACGATATCCGCACGGACCAGCAAAACAACCCAGTATGGACAGTTCACTGTCCAGAAGGTAAGTATCGAAGGAAATAAATTTACCTTGAGCTTTCCTCCGATAAGTTCCATTCTGAGCACTTCTTGAGCCATCAACTTTGCGTTTACGCGATAACTACCCTTTAAACTTAACTTTGGAGGAAACTAATTTGAAGATTTTCTTTTCTTGCCTCATGCCGTAACTGGGAACCTTGCTTGGTTCTCCTTCACTACATACATTGGATGCGGAATGCCTAGATACTCTGTTAATGCCCTGACCTTCAATTCTTTGGAAGCTCATGTTGCCTGGGCACCATCCACAGTATTACCCTGGTCTCAGAGTTTCAGTTCCTCCAGTAACATACCCGCAGTTGGACAAGTAGTCCGGTACCCGCTTCCAGTCGTCTGTTCACTCAAAATAATAAATTGCTCAACGCTTTAGGTTACGCGAATTCGATGGTCGCTCCTACAGATCGGACCGGTCCGAACGGTCCGACGAGATGTCACTTCGTTCTATGAGGAGACAGGTACCTTTGCTTTTGAATATTTTTTTGATAGGTTTTCATGTCCTCTGTCGTTTTCAGGGTTATGGCCATTCTAAAGAGAAAATGCCAGTCAGTGTTGGTATCTGTATCGTGTTCGCATTTATATCAGGTAAGCTTTGTAAAAAAAAGATCATGCGTAGTCGGTCATGCGTACCTTAACCGTATTCGATTCCATGAGCTTTTTATTATGGTGCCATCAGCATGGCGCATCCTTAGAAATTTCTCAGCATCTGCTACAGCGGCTACAGTGTTCGAGGAAAAATGCCAAATGATTATAAAATGCAATGTATTTCGAAACTCTTGAAATTCGGAGAAGAAGTATAGAGAAGAGAAGGAACTCAATAAAAAAAAAGACTAGCCAAGTATTGCCTACTTCAGGTGGAGCTGTGTTGTTTAGTTGGTGGGAGGGTTGGAATCCCTTCGATGGTGCTTACTACTGCTTCATCACGCTCAGGTAATGGTTAGATAGTGTTACATTTCCTGCCATATTCACGATAAATATGTTCATTGACCACATAATCGAGATGTTTTTCTTTCAGCACCATAGGTTTCGGTGATATCGTGCCCGGTCAAGCCTTGGACGAAGGATCGCAGGTGATTCATTATAAATGTTCTCCTAAAAATACTCATCAACGAATTAATAATTCATTTTCTGTGTGCGGTGATGGTGATGGGGGATGATTTTCGCTTGCGTCCAGCGTAAGCAGTCATTATGTTAGTATGCCATCTCAAGTGATGAGTCAAGAGGCGCCATAATCGACTCGAACTTAGGTCATTGTTATTTATGATCCTGACATGATGAAGTAGCGAAGATCAGGCTGATAGGTTATATTTGCATATGCCATCGCCTCCGACACTTGAAGGGTTGACTAGTCGTGCCAGGACCTTCTTACTCGTAATTATTTAGGAGAGAGGGGCTTTGTCCCTGTCTTTCACGAACTGACTGCAATGAGATATACCGATATGCACGCCCCTTTGACTCGGCGAACTAGCTATGTATGTCGGGGCGATCGCAGTGGCTCGTCCTGGCCCATACCCACCGTATTAATAAATGATTTCCAAGCCCAAAGTTTGTAATCTTTGGTGATCAGAGAGCTCAGCTTCACTTTTTGCCAGGTTTCTTCAAAATAGTGGAGAAGTAAGGCTAACTGTTTATTCTACCAGTCTAGACTCTCGTTTAGGAGAAATTGGTGGTATGCGCATTATACCTCCTCTTTGGTATGGCGCTCATAGCTATGTGTTTCAAACTGATGCAGGATGATGTGGTACAGAAAGCACGGTGGTTGGGTCAGAAGATCGGCATATTAGGTAGGTTCAATTGAAGTTCGGATTCATCGTGGTCAATGCAAGGAATTGAACGTTCCGTGCGTTTTTTCCTATCTCCTTTCTTCGCCGTTTTTTTTTTGTTTCAAAATAAACCAATCTTCTCCTATGCTTACAATAAGATGAAAAATGCTATCCAGCTTGTTTTTCTTTAGCTGCTTTTGTGTGTTTCGTGTTTGTTTGTGCAGCTTTCTTATCGCTCTTTCTTAGCCCCTTCAGTCGAAGTCAGTGAGGCGATCGCTCGACATGCGTTCTTCATTTTTGGTGCCGCTACTGCGGTGGAAAAAGGTTGGAGTGATTTTATTTCAAGTAAAATGAGTTGATTAACTCACGATCAAGGGTTGTGGGCATGATGAGTTCGACGTCGAGAGAGCTCTCTATGGAAGTTGACGGTCATAGCAAATCTGTAGTGAGCCCACTCTAATTTGTGGCGATTGTCAACCGAAGAGGACGGAAATGGCAGTGGCAAGCTGTGCCGCATCTCAGGGCGAGTGCCCCTGGTGTGGTGCGTTAGGAACGAAATGGTCGCGTCGCGGTGAGAGGGGCGTCGCGCGCGAAGGAATGTGGCAGGATGCAGCAGTAGGTAAGAAATACAAGAACAAAAGGACTAATAGTAGAATTATGCATAAAATAATGATCTCATATCGATTGAGCTGTGTGAAGAACGCTAGAGCTGTAATAACGGTGAAAGAGTGGTCCGCGATAGCCGCGTGCGGCGAATCGATTACCCAAAATCGTTCCTAACGCCCGTCTCCCCAAGTGCCCCAGATGGAGTCAGCGGTGGAAGGGAGCCTAGGCGCCTAGCCACTTTCTGAGAGCCTTTCACTGTACCTGAGTACCTCGATTCCTGCCCAGACCTCATCATGCTCACAATTTTTGATCAGCTTTGCTTATCTTTTTTTATGTTGCTTCGCAATTTCTGAGTACGGTGAATGTCCGCTTGTAAAATGTAGTCTGTTGATCATTTTTGTACAATACAATGACAGTTATGTCATCTACAGGCAGCTTTCTACTTTGGTACGGCTTTTTGTAATCGTGCACAGTAAAGCAGCATGGTTCCATGAAATGTAGTCAAACGTGCACAGAAAGACACCGACAGACCAAGCTTTTAATGACTGATTGAGTCGGGGACAAAAGCATAATTCTGTCGATCGTCGAGCATCATCACCAATTTCTCAATTTCCTTCATTACCTTTTTTTTAACTTTTCATTCCACTCTATCGAACTGTAGAAGATCCGAGTACCTAGATAATAATGGCTGTGTTTCAGTGCGTGAAGAACACTCGGAGTCTGAATCCGAAATTGAGGACGACATGATTGAAGAAGACGATGAGGATATGAGCGAAGAGCGAACGGACCAGGCATGTTCACATAATTTTTAGGAAGAAAGGGAGGAACGCAGGAGGAACATAGAATTTCGTGGGCGGAGTGAAGTAGTAGGCGCTGCAAACTCCAAGTCTTCATATGCATATATTGTATAGATCTGAACCAAACCCAAATACTCCCGAATACTTTGTGATCTTTGACTGTAATTCTGCTATTGTCTAGGTTTCTATACATTTGTGCCCATTGAATAATGTGCAACAGTTCATGTAGAACATTCCCAGTCAGGGTCAATTATGAAGTCGGAGAAGATCTAATGCATTGGTAAGAAAGCATCCGTGAAGAAGTAACCGTCCTTCCATCCAGCAGGACAAAGCAGCCTCCCCTTTTATTTTTTCATCTAACTTTTTGTTTACCACCTTTTGTTGTTTACAATATTTCTACCAACTGATCAGCATCGAGGGTTGGTAAAGATTTTTCCTGCTCTTTTCCAACATTGAGCGTTAGAGCTCAGAGAAGAATGGGTAGTGGACTTTCCAGCACATAATTGTGCTCAGGAACGTTCCTTCGCCGGGAAAATATGGATACGCATCGTCCCGCGCGTCAGTCGAAACTAGGCCACGCCGCAGCCGTCGCACGCGGCGCGATTGACAGGCGTCGCAGCTGTCAGTGGGGCATACGATTTGCGCTTGGTCCATGACAGTCACCTAGAAGAAAAGATAACGCGGACTGGTGCTAATCACTGGCTCAACTGACTCTTAGTGGCACTGTAATTTCATCTCGACATTGCAGTGGGCTGCACCGCGCCGAAGTAGACGGGTGACCTAGTTTTGGCTGACGCGCGGAAAGGACGTTTCCCGAACAAATACATTTCCTTTTTTTCTTTTGCCAGAGCCTTAGAGGGCCTTTTTTTCTTTTGCCAGAGCCTTAGAGGGAAGTAAGATGCAGCGAGGTGGGTAATTCAACTGAATGTTCAATTCTAATCCGATCTCAGCTTTTCGTACGAGGTGAACATCTCACCCATTACTCCCCTGTATAGGTTAAAAGCTATTTCCTATGAAGAAGGGCCGTTTATAAGCGCAAGTAAGACCGGCTAACCCTTCCCCTACCTCCCACCTCCCCCCCTCCTCCTCCTCCTCCTCGCCCTCTCTCCCTGTCTTTAGGTTCAGTGTTAGAAAGAAGTGGTACACTTCATCTTCTCTGTAACTGCTATGTCATTTTTCAAACTATTTTTGATTTTCATTTTTTATTCATATGTCTTTTCGAAAGGTTCACCAAACCGACATGCATGGATTATTTGTGATCTTGACCTTTTACACTGGTGTCCTTTCTCAGCTGAATGTTACGCTTCTGGCGTCACTACTGTTATTTCTTTGCATCATGGCGTTGTGATGCTGTTACCAGTTACTGCAAAAAGCTATATCTCTTTTTTTCATTGGTGATCGTAATTATGAAGCTTGGTCTTTCTTTGTACGACATTGTTTTAGTTTTAGGACAAGCGTACCATTTCATCGGGTTCGTCGAAGCGTGACGATGACATTACGCTTCATCCGTCGTCTTCCCGTCACCGTAAAAGTCCACGCCGCCGATGACATCGGAAATAATTGAATCGGCTGACTTACCTCTTCCTTCTGATCTTGTCACGATTCGGTGACCAGGTTTCTGTGGTCAATGTTGGCCTTCGCTTTCATACTACTAGTCATCATTCATTACTCATTTACTGGTAGTACATGTCTTCCAATTCTGAGTAGTCCTTGAACTCGAGTCACACGATAGTGTTTCATTCATATAAGATTTTCCCTAAACTCGGGTAAATTTCCGGGAAGTGCTTTGAATGCGATTGATTAATAGTAAGATATTACTATTTCCACTTCATTTGTTGTCTGTGCTGTTCATGCTTGAAGTTCAGGGTGTTGGTTCGGTGATGATTTCTATAATTTTGCGTCTTTTCATTTTTTTACAGTTGCGAACTGACGTCTTCAAGAGTCTCTCTGGCTAAAAGTAGCTTCCAGACGAATTTTGTATGGCACAGACCGGCTCACATTGCTTTCAGTTTGCTCATAGATGTCTTTAGGCGTTGTTTTGTTTACTAACAACTTTTGTTCTACCGTATAGTAGAGCAGGTGACTTGCTTTCAAACGGTATCCTTCCCTTGAGTGATCTTCCCACCCGCAATATTCGATGTGTTTGTAGACAGCCCACAAAACCAGCCGTGTCAGTAGGTCCGGTGTTGTTTACCAATCGAGTTTATTTTTGTTTACATTTTGCAGAGAATACCCTCACAAACATACATTTAGTTTTCCGGCCTCTTGAACTACCCACCCGATCGAACACTATCTAGTTACCCGCTAAATATAATCTTACCCGAAAGTAATTTTATTTTTATTCTTTTTTCGAAGAGCATTTGAATTCTGATTGCCAATAATGTTGCCTTCTGAAATCCATTGATATATGACCAATCCTCTATGTGCTCCACACTCGTTTTTCTTTTTTTTTCGTCGTATACTCGTTGCACATTCGTGTATCACGCGATATTTTCTATTGTTTTTTATGTTTTAATAAATTTTAATGCATTTTTGCTTCACCGTCGTCGATATTGCGTCTCGGCGTAATGGAGTATCTGAGAGTACTTCAAAAATGTTCATTTCATTACTTTTTTCCCATTGTCGTGATAGGTGTTAGTGCTAAACGACTACAGGTCGAGAGTATTTTGAAGAATTCGTGACGGTAGGGTCCTTGCAGGGGTTCTGCTTGACCTGCTGGAGGAATGAAAACTTCATTTTCCCCTCTCTCTGATTACCCATTCGTCTTCCCTAAATTAGGAAAAATAAGGATGTAAGCGATTCGATGGATTGAGAGGTTGAGGAGGTCGTGTTGAGACCCACTTTGGGAAGTGGCGTACGGGACCTCCTTGTCAATTTTTTTATTGGGTGAGGACCATACCGCTAAGCAAACTTTTCCACTCCCATGTTCGACCCTGAATACATCTGGCGACTCTGCGTTCCATTTAAAGGCACCGTTCACATAATTTTGGGTAATCCAGATTATGATGAAAAATGGAAGACAAGGTCGAAAATAGTGCGATGAAGGTGGAGAAACTGCGTGCATCGGC